GTCCGCGCCGAAACGAGTCCGCGCGGAACCGTGTAAAACACAGTACACAAGTACCGGTATTTGACGCCTGGAAAGAAAGGGGAACATCTTGAGCAGTTCAGGGCAAAATCTAGAGAGATTTCCTCACAACTGACTCAGCTGACAATGTGGGGAAAATTAACCGTTTTTCAGATTTTACGAACCCTCATTGTTCTCATTTTCAAACAATAAAACATGTTCTCGGGTATCAGTCGGGAAAATGTCAAAAATGTTCCCATTCTTCTCCCGGACAACAAAAACTAAAATAGTAAATGCTGTCAAAATAAAAACTATCTTTCCCCCCTATTCCTTGGTGTTTCAGGCAACCTTTTGATACAAAATTCCGTCATGCCTTCACAACTCCTTGAGATTTAGTGTACAGTAAACTACTTCCTGGGTCTAGTGGAGCTATTCAATTACAGTATGAACAGAAATCTTGAATTAGAACTCAAAACAAACAATCACACACCATTTTTGGTATCATTAGATATTGCTTCAATTTCTTGGAGACAGTTCGACACTTGCTTATCATCTGCAACATCAAGCTGAAGAACGTGGAGGTTCGGACGCTTTAATGCAGCCAACTCTTGGGCTCCATCACCTTTTTTCTCCTTCAGCAAACATCCAGCAAATACGCGGCAACCCTAACAAGAACGCTGAGGGCATAAATACGTGGGCAATTCGCACTGAATCCGAGTATGAGGGTTGTTTGGTTTCCTTGCGAAGAAAAGTACCGTAGTAACTTCTTATCACGGTCTCGACTCGTTCGATGGTCAGATTCGACGGGAGAATAATTTTTCTCCCATTTCCAGATTTTCACTGGAGTTCGGAAAAGGATTGAAAATTGGAAGAAGTGACCCTCATCCATTCCCATACACATTTTGCGAAGTCGTAGAGCTGATTTTCAATTAAATCTGGCAAAATTGTGTTTTAAAGAATAAGAAATCGGCCGGTATTTCCTAAAAAATTCGAATAAACCTCAGAAGGATCTAGTCAATGAAAGCTTACTACCGTAGAACTATTAAAAATAACTGCAGATCTTTTCTCTACCTGCCTCCGCACATGAAACCAAGCAATCCTTGTAAAATAAGGAATATATCTGACAAAAAAACATTTCCATTCAAATACTTAGCTAGAGCAAGTCCGAAGCCCGAGTCACAGCCGGTGATAAGAACAGCTTTTCCTGCCTGAGGAACCTAAAAATAGAGCATAATACAGCAATAATTATTTTTAAGACAACAGTAATTGAAAAATCAGAGGACGTCCAACCTTTGGCAGATATTTCCGAAGGCGTAACGCAAGATTTGAGTTGAACAAAGACATCACGCAAACACCTTAGATGTCGGCCAAAGGAAAAATAATACTCTAAAGGAAATCATTCGCAATCATCTCACACCGGTAAAAATATTGAAAACTCGATAAAAAAAATCCAAGAACGAAGATAATCCACAAGCCCTTTAATGTACTTAATTGCCCGCGCATTAATAGCATTTCAACATCTCGTAACCCTTTGAAAATGTTTTCTACTCATAAGTATTCATTTCGTCAATTACAATTCGCGAAAAATTAAAAAAATTTTCAACGTGAAATATGATAAAAATGACACGCACAGCCGGTTTTCCGAAAAATTGAACGCAGAATTTAAAAGAAAATGCTAATACCGTAGAAGGTGTGCAGCTACGCGAAAATTCGAAGCGCGATAAGGCGAAAAATCAGCAAATCCTTCAATTGCTGAATAAGGTGGTTCATTCGGTGGGTTTTCTGCGGATTCAGTATCCTGAAAAACGTATATTTGAAGATGTACGTTCTGATCGGCTTGGTTTCCGGTAGACTTCAAGAGAAACGCACGAATATACAGTAGATGCAAGCTGAGATGGAATTTTTTTGCCACACAAACAGTATAGATCACAGGCTTTGTTTTCGTATTCAACCACATCACCTCAAAGACTCCATAACATAGAGCAGAACGCTTTTTCTTCCTCGGGATCGAGTCAATAGTGATGCTCGTCAGCATCATTATTGATCATTAAGCGCGCAGGATGAAAACCACGATGACATGCTTGTATCATTTTCGACGTCAACATAAGCTCAAAGGACTAGAAGTGCGTTAACGATCACGGCGAAAAATTCACAAAATATAATAATTAGAACCGTACAAATAAGAATAACTTTTATTCAAGATATGACAATTTCTGAGAGGACAGCCTGAAATGGGAGAGAAAACGTTCTCGTACTGGATGGGTTGGAAAAGCTTCGAAAAATCTTAGTTACAAAAAATTCATTGAAAAATTCCAACAGTTCGCAAGGCAAGTGAGATCTCAATTTGACCACGAGTCCGTAATTATGCTTTTAAAAACAAACCTTTCCAAAAATTCCATTTTTTTA